GATAACATAAAAATGTCATATTGAAAAATATCTTAATAATTATTTACATTCTCAAGTGAGGAGATCCATTTCTAAAATAACAATGACATACAGAATAGTGTCTCCTCTTTAAAGCACAAATTGTGACTTTTATCACTATAGTACTGAACACAATAAAGTGTCTAGGTCATTTTAGATGAATGCATGTTTGTTTGATGAAGTGAATAAATGAAATTCATACATTGTATGAACAGATCTGATTCCTAGCAATCCATGATGATATCCAATAGCATTTGAGACGTTACCTCCCATTTTAATGGTTATTAATCTAGATTCATGGATCATCCTACTTAGATTTATCAACACAATCAAAGATGAGAATTCTTCCCACACTTCACTAGTTCAAAAATCTCTATTATAACAGGGGGATAAAATATCTCTCAGATCGCATACAAAAAGGTGGCAATTTGTCTCCACTTAAAGAATTTTAAGCTGCTTAATTACTCTTCAGTTTTACTACCCTGGGCCTGAAATCTATAAATAATTTTACCAGTGCCTTACTGATGCAAACATGTACTACTGGGATAGCTGAGGAAAGACATATAAATCAGAATTCTGTCATTTTGACAGCAGATTTTTAATGTGTGTACCCAACTTAGTTAAGTATTACTTTAGAAGCTGGCCTCCTGCAGGAAGGACCTTGACTATATAGCAAAAATTCTTTATTTTAAAACTTAAAACTGGATAATTCTGAGTTAGTATTAATTTGTTTACCCTTCCTGCCTGATCTCTGTTTCCTTGATGTGCTGTAATAAATGAATCAAGACTTCTCTTGAGTAATAAAAGGAAAGAAAACATACCATACCAGATTTACTTTCTATGCATTGTGTGGATTTTAAATATGCTGAACGTCCTCATTTTCTAAAATAATGCTTAAATAAAAGAAATGTTCCAATCATTATATCATTAGTTTTACATTCAAGATAGGGAAGGAGATGCTTTCAAATTAAAACCATAGCTCTTACCACTAAGCAAAGATAATAAAACACAAGTATTTATGCCCTTAGGGGTAAAGTTTCACATTCTTCTATGATATTATTTTGAAGATGAGGAAGGCATAAGACGTAGATATGTATCTAAGCACAAATTGATTTACTGCAAGGAAGAGAAATTATTTATTGATGGCAAAATATTAAAAGTAAACATATTCTGTAAAGAGTCTCTCCTTACACATGCTGCCTACCAGTATAATGATTTTGTTAGTAATATAAATTATTCGGTTATATTCTCAAAGTTGTTGAACAATTTTGGTGGAGAATTTAGAGATCTTGCTTATAGCAAGAAAGAGAAAATTTACTTGTATGCCTCTCATGCAGGTAAGTCACCCTATCCTTCAAGATGACAGACTCCCTCAGTCCTTCCAAATAAACACACTTATCTGCCCATGACAATGTTAGATATCAACCAGAATATCCTAGAGGAAGATAAGAGAGCATTAGCCTTTCTGAAATAGTCTCTTATTAAAAATAGATATTATGCCTTGGATTTATGTAATTAAGTAATTTTATACACAACTATCTTTCAATGCCATACCAACAGTTTAAAAATTGGTAAAAAGATAATTCCTGGCTTTAGAGAATAATTTACTTTTAGTAAGTGATTTATATAAAATTAAAAGCAGAAAAATCTCTTGCTTATTCACACTGTCATTGAATGCGTTATCTTGAGCATACTGCTCTTTCTGCTTCTGCTTCAATTGTCCCTTCTGTAAAATGAGTAGGTTGACATCTGACTATTTTAACAGAATGATTGAAATTTAATTGAGATGATACATGCAAAAGTCCTTCAGAAATAGTTTACAGTATTTAGGATAGTATCGACTCTAGTGTTGTACCCTCACAGAGTTGGCATTCGATGAATATTCATGAATTTGTGGTCTAAGTCTGTCAGCCAGGAGATGCAGAGTGGACCTGCCCCTGTGTGTCCCCTAACACCCTGGATTGCAGTGTCCACTGAAGGATGTAGAACATACAGACTTGCAGATGTTATTCTCAGGATCATTTTAGCTTCATTAAACTATGATTGTATTAATCAATACATCTCAACTGAATTCTCTTTGTCTTTTCTGTCATATAAAAATGTACTCTGCTGTGAGTAAAAGCAAACTTGACCACAGTGACTTAAATAAATAAGCTCTTATTCTTTGACATTATAATAAATCTTGAGATAGGTGCTTGCTGGGTCAACAAGTATAGGGTATACATCTCTCTGATTTTCTTGGCCTTTAATGTATTGTCACATGTAAACCATTATGTCCATAGTCAATTCTGGAACAATGTAGATGAAGCAAAGGAAAAAAAAAAAGCGATCCCAAAGACTTTCATCAGATTCCCGTTTGTGTTTCTTTGGCCATAATTTTGCCCATTTGTCACTATTGGCAATGAAGTCTGAGTTAGGGAGCGCGGGGCAGGATGCAATTCTGAACGAATCAGCATTCTATTAGCAAGCAGGAAGCGGAGTTCAGGTATTAAGTATGCAGCCAGCTGTACCCGCCACATTCCTCTGCTTAACAGTTTGTCTTTTCATGTTGATCTGTTTGTGTATTTAAACATGCTTCTCACAAGTCAGCTCCCTCCATCTTCTTATGATCTTCCTCAGATGAGATTCCTCTGTGTTGTCTCTTCCAACAGCTCAATCCACATGGAGTGCACACTCGCTGTGGCCTGTGTTAAATGCCTGGTGCCTATTTTCAGTTGCAGGGGCCCTTGGAAATAGACAAAATTAGAGACTTTGTATCTTTAAGGCTACCCAAAAGCCTGAAAAAGAGTAAATGATTGACAATTATTTATTAAACTTCATGTGTATGGGCCTATCTATATTGTACTGTTGTCATCTCTAAGATTATTTGTTAATAATTATGTAAAGTCTGTTACTAGTTTGAATTAACATTCTTAACTTCTAAGTCTATTAATTGCAGTTATTACTAATAGCATATAAATTACTATCAGAAATCCTTGGCTATAGTGTTGTAGCTAAGAAATCATTATAGGATTGTCTTGTCTTTTCTTTAAGTATAACATAGTATAGTTATTTATAATAGTAACAAAAAGTGATTGATAGTTTAGTGAATACCTTTATGCTAAATGTTGTAAAAAACCATTACAGCTCCAAATAAAGACACATAGATAAATTTACAAGCAAACAAAATAATAGAGCAACTTAATCTTGAAAGACTCAGTAATGCCCCCTTCCAAATTTAAAGGCACTTCAATGGAGAGCTAAATTGAAACTGGAAATTAAGTACATAGTTTGTTTGTACTTTATAACATTTCCTCCAAGGCAATATAACAGAAGATATGAGTGGAACTTTCTAACCAATGCTTACAGACTATGTTCAAAAATTTGTAATCTTAATCCATGTTTGGTTTGGGCAATAGAATTTATTTTAGTGGCTCTCAATGTGACACCAAAAGTAGTTCAGTCTATTGTAACATGGTCCTAGAGCAGCCATTCTTAGTAGGAGCTAGAAAACAACAAGGCAAAATGAATGGCTGTTATCATTTTATTATTTTAAGTGTTCATTTTGGCAGTGTATTTCCCAAGAACCTTGTAGTAAGAAGAGATACTATTATGGATATAGTGCATCCATTTTCAAAATGTATCTAAGGGTTATAAAAGTTAAGATTTGTCTGCACAGATTTTTCTTAAATGCAAATATCCCGTTATTCACATTATGAAGTTGATGTAAGAAAATTCTGAAATTCAATAATAAAGATAACCTATAGGGCCTATTCTATGTGTAAGTACTTAAAGTCAACAAATTTTAGTGTAGCACTGAAACTAAGTTCTAGAGATTCAAGAAATTACTCATTTCCAAAGATATTCTGAAGGAAACTAAAAATTTAGACCCAAATCCCTTCCTCAGAGGAATGTCAAAAAGCTTTCTTGCTGGGATTTTCACCATGAATTCAGTTCTCAATGTAATTATGAAAATGGGTCAAACAAAACAGTACAGCATTTTGAATTTTATATCAAATTAAATGAAAATAACATAACAGAGGCAGGCAAAATCAATATTTGGTAGCCAGTTCATTCGTTTTAAAAACAAAACCAAAAATGCATTATTCAGAGACATGGTCAGAAAGAAAAAAGGTAACCAGAGTTATTATAAAAAGCTTTTAATCTAGTAACAATCCACAAGTATATCAGTTTAGATAGAAATTGCACCTCTTTATGCTTGATATATAGAAAAGGATATATATTAATTTAAATACAAATTGTACCACCTTATGTATTTGAGATACAGACAAGGAAACATATTGTGCTCTTTGTTTTAGGCCATTACCATAAAATGACACTGTCAAGGCAGAAAAAAAAAATCATAGCTCATAGGAACTGTAAGAAGGCACAACTTCTTCTGACAGCTGCTTACTATAGGGGGCATAAAACTGTGGGGATAAACTTGTAGACACAGAAACCAATTAGCAAACAACTAAGTGTATGATACAGGGGTGGGCAAAAGTAGATTTACTTTTTTATGTAAAAAAAAAAGTGGTTCATATGGAAAATAATGCGATAATTAATAAATAATAATACAAGAATAAACTCTGTGTCTCACCTACTCACAACAGTGCTAGCTGCAGTGCAGATAGTATACACATTGCATCATGTTTGAAAAGGCAATGGCTACATGATGACATGGCTTTGCTTTATTTTTTCCACAAATATTCCAATGCCAAGGAAAGCTGTGAAAACATAAGCTGGAAATTTCATCACATTCTCGTGCCAAAATAATCTAAATCTTGTGGGGTTTTCTTTTTTCTTTAACATTTGGTGCAAGCTCAAATGTGTATGTGGAGACACTACACTGGGCCATGTTATTTGCTTCTATAAATGCTGGAAGGAAAAATTAATTTTTATAGTGAATGTATGCCCTAACATCCTGAAATTTGTTTTATGTATTTTCAAAAATACATTTTCAAAATGATTACAGAATTTTAAAAGGGTCCTTTTGTTTGTAGCTTGTCGACCGGGTTTCTACAAGGCTTTGGATGGTAATATGAAGTGCGCTAAGTGCCCGCCTCACAGTACTTCTCTGGAAGATGGTTCAGTGAACTGCAGGTGTGAGAATAATTACTTCCGGGCAGACAAAGACCCTCCATCCATGGCTTGTACCCGTGAGTAGTTCTGCTGCAACCCATGCCTCCATGTTTGTTTTATTTTGTATTTTTCTCCTTGCTATTGTGCGTTTTTTTATTTTCTTTTACAAGCATTTGGCCCATTTCCTGTGCTATCCATGTGCAAATTGAAAGCTTTCTCTGCTTCACTCTCCATGCTTGGCTCACCACAAATGCAACATTTATCACACAAAATGAATTAATTTTTAAAGTACTTCCTGCTATAGGATCCCCAGAAAGAAAGTTTTCTGTGTCCTCTTTTAGATTTTGCATTATATTAGAAAGGATAGAGGAGGTTACAAGCATGGGATTTGTGTTTTTACATTTCTATTCCCTCTTGTTTTATGTTGGTCATAGGTCATAGGGAAAAGGGACTAAGATTTATAAAACTAATACTAAAGTTTTCATAACTATTCACAAGGGCATTGAATTTAGTGGTAAACTTCTTTGTTGGACTTACTACGTGCATATTCAACCTTGAGTCAAATCTCCCCCACTCATAGCTTGGAATGTACACTGCTCTTGTATCCATGTGTCTATAATCTCACGGATCCTCTAAGGACGAATTAAAAGTATATAATAAAGACAAGATGGTTATTTACCTCTTTCAGTTCCATTGTAAATTATCTCGTTCCCTTGTAGTAGAAACCAGAAGTGAGGCTCATTAATCTTTGTTGAACTACTTTGCAGGACCTCCATCTGCACCAAGAAATGTTATTTCTAATATAAACGAGACTTCGGTTATCCTGGACTGGAGTTGGCCCCTGGACACAGGAGGCCGGAAAGATGTTACCTTCAACATCATATGTAAAAAATGTGGGTGGAATGTCAAACAGTGTGAGCCATGCAGCCCAAATGTCCGCTTCCTCCCTCGACAGTTTGGACTCAGCAACACCACGGTGACAGTGACAGACCTCCTGGCACACACTAACTACACCTTTGAGATTGATGCCATTAACGGAGTGTCAGAGCTGAGCTCGCCACCAAGACAGTTTGCTGCAGTCAGCATCACGACTAACCAGGCGGGTGAGTACACGCCGGATGCTTCCCACTCCTGCGTTTCTGAGGCAATTAAGAGTTTTGACAGACAGGGGTGGGAAAAGGGTGGGGGAAAAAGATTTGAAAGAACTCCAGGATTTCCTCTTCTATCACTTTTAGACAGTTATTATACTTACAAATTTAATTCTGCAAATGAGAATGAGTCATATTTGTTAGATGATTTTAAACTAATTCAAACCACTGCTACCCAGTTTGGAATCTTTAAAATAGTTGGAGCTCTGGAAATAGTACCTATAGGTCTCCTTGAAGCATTTTCTTATTTCAAAGAATTTAGACATTGAACCTTAGCTATGAAAAGGTTATGTAGGGTATTTACAATTTAAAATAGCTTTACCTTAGTTACAATTATATCAGATGTAGTTATTCAGTTATTTTATGATTGTCAGTAGCTCTGAGTATTTTAGCTAAGAAAGTTGTAATTCTCTGGTTAATTAAAAATAAGAAAACCAATTTTATTCAATAGCTGAAATTTGTATTTAAAAATCAAAATATGAAATTTGTGGAGAAGCATAGTGAAAAAAAGTCTTGATGGAAGACACTTAGAAGTACTGATCTAAAAATAAAAAAATCCTGGGGTAAATTGTTAGATGATTTCACCAACTATATTTTCCACTGACAATCTTTTTCTAATTAAAAAAGTGTTACACTGGCAGGCTGTAAACAAAGGCTTTGATATGTAACAGAAATATGAAACAGGCAAACTTCTCACCTTTCTTTGTCTTATATCCACAAAATTTATCTTTTATTTACTGTTAGTACATCTTGTTCTTTCAATCACTCATTAAATCTTTTATGTGATTTTTATAATAATTTTTTTAATGATGTGGTATTCAAAATTATTTTGGGGGTTTTAGTTGTGATTCTCTCAGACATAGAAATGTTATGCTTTACAGGGTAGATAGGGACATGTTTTGAGATAAGACAATCATTTCTCCAATGCTGAAAACTGTGATGAATGTATAATAAAGTTTTCTTTTGGAACCAACCAAGCTTGAGTAAAGTGAAGCTGACAGATATTTATGTACACAATTGTTGTTATAAGATATCATAATTAGGGATACATTCCAGACAGTTCAATGCAGAGATATTACTGTATCATTTATATACAAACAAATAAATATTGGAGTCAAAAGAGGAGGAAAGGAAGAGGCAGGATGCACCGTGAACCACAAACAGCAGACACTTGAATCAGCTCCCTGGTGGGTTAAACTCTAAGCTAGAAGTCAGGATTGAGCATAAACTTCCCACCTTTTCTGCATTTGGCTTAAAGTTTTGGAAGTCTCCCTGCTCTATAGTGGGACTTGCCCTTTGCTCCAGGAATGTGTTAACTGGAGGCCTTAGGAAAAGGGAAAGGAGTGATGACTAAGTTCTCCATCAGCTGGAAGAGGTTGTAGAGCAGCCAAATAACTAGCTAAAAAAACTCATCACTTTATTTTCTCTCAGTTGGCTGGCTCAGTAAGAGTACACGACCAAAGGCAAACAAATAATAGGTGTCATCCAGGGCTAACATTCAGCAAGTCAGCACCACTATGACTCTGCTGCTTGTTAAACTTTTGTACTACTTCTATATTGGTTAGAAATAGTTTTAACGACTTCTACAGGTTAGTATAGAAATGCATTTGTTCTGGTTAATTCCTCCAGTACCCTGAGTAGCCTCCTGAACCCAGTAACTCAGATCCGCCCAACACCCCCCCCCAAAAATAATCTGCCAACCAAAAGTATAAATCTTAGCAGTGGAGGAGTTTCTAGAGCTCTGCCCTGGAACTGCACCCTCCTGAGGGATCTATGTCCCTGACATTTTAATTGATGGGTATTTTGAATACAGCCCCTGACGGGGTCCATCCTCAAAGGCATCTCTTTCTGATTCCAGACTCTTCCCTTATTCCTACATTGCTTCTACTCTCTCTACCAATCAAAATTGTACACTTTTAGAGGTGTTGTGATAATATATAAACTTTATTTGTGGAAAAGACATGACTTTTAAACAAAGTGCACTGAATTATTATTTTAATCTTGCTTCCTGAATTGGTAATATCTCCCACTTGAAGCTAGTTCCTAAAACAACAAACGTAAGTTTTTACTCGCTCCAGTTAATGATATTTAAACTTTGTAACTAATAATATTTAAAAATGTGTAACTTAAATGTATTTAACTATCTTCCATGACAGAAAAGAAAAAGGGTAATTGTATTGCTATGTATCACATGATTATAGCTTCTCATATTCAATGAACACAGGAATTTTAAGAAATTATAATTTTGTGGCAAATGGCTTTCCTAAATCCCATATTTCATGTTGATTTACTACCTTGTTTAAAATGAAAGCATCAATCTGTGTTATAATTATCTCCTGAGTCAAACAGAAACATATAAAAACAAGCAAGAACTCCTTGTATCCTACCTTATCATCAGCCTCTGGCTTTCCGACAATGCCTTTATTCGGAAAGGAATAGTTTCAGATACATACAGTGAATGAATCTAGGTAAAGTGGCAGCAGCCAGGAGCAAGCCAAGACATTATAAATAAATGGGGTTGATGCTTTGGCCTCCCAGTTACAAATCACAGGGCAAGACAGAGCTTCAACAAGGATGATATCAGTTACTCTTCCTAAACCCACTCCCTTTTTCTTTTTTTCATAATCCCAAATTTATCTACAATATGCACTGCCAGGCATTTTATATATTTATTTATTTCAGGGTTTATGTCATTTTCATGTGTTTACCTGGGGAGGTAGAAGTCTTTGTTCAATCTTCAAATCCCCACAGTTAAGATATATAAACAAGATTAGGTGCAACATGTTTCTCCAGAGAGTGTTTCTTTGTTTTGCTTTATTTTGTTCTTGTGAAGGTTAATGGACTCGTAGCTTTAAAAAATGAGCTCCATACCACAAGAAAGATATGACTGTGACAGATGTGATTCCACAGTGTTTAAGTTACTCTTAGTGTATCTTTGACATGGACATAAAGGGGAAACGTGAATGTGTCCCTTTTAATCTTGTTTGTGAGATTGAGCTGGTTGATATTTTTTTTTGATTATGTTGTAAAAGCCATGTGATGACCACATGATAAGATACCTTCTAAATGTGGTGGGTTATGTTGTAAATCCCAGTGTTACTCCTCAGCTCCCTATACTTTCAGAAAGCATGTCAGTGAGATAGAGAACACAGCCTCTACATAAAAATGATATTCGTGAATTCATCAAACATGTACAGGAAGAATTACAAATTGCAAAACAAAGCTCTGTGAAGTCATAATTTGGTATGAATTGCTACTTCATGTTTTCTTCCTTGAATGAGTATATTCATCTTTTACCCCTTAAAAGTTCTGGAACTTTTAAGTTCTGGAAACAATCATTCAGAAACATTAGTGGAATATCCATTTCTATTTATTCTCAACCTCCATCATAAAACCTGCCCTTTCCCCCTACTAACCTGTAACATATAATGGTCTCTGACTAGAATAGGGGCACTAGCAGAGAATTTATGGGCATGCAACTTTGAGATCCACCCTGCTCCCATTTTACAGCTGAAGAAACTGAGATTCGAGAAATTTTTTCAACATTTCATCAAGAACAAACTTCCACTTAAATCTCCCAACTCCAATGCACTTTCACCTCCTGTTTTCCTATTGTTTGTGTCGTCCTGTGATTCATGCTCATGGCTACAGAAATAAATGCTGCCTTCAAGACACAGAGGAGCTCTGCTGGGAAAATCTACTATAACCTATGACATTCACAATGAACTCGATCCTTACTTCTCAGTCATATGTCACAGGGTTTCCTAGGGGTGTTCTGTGAGAGATCCTCCTTATCTCCTCCACTCTTCCCCGGAACCAGTCTCATGTTTTACTCCCTCATTCTCCACAGATGATTTTCCTTCTGTAAAACTGAGATTTATAATAAGAAATAGATATTTGGTCTTGATCCCAGTTTACAGCACAGAGCTCCTAGAGCCTTTGGAATTTCCTAAGAGATAAGGGCAATAAAAATGTATTTTGCTATTCATAAAAATCTCTTTCAACCACACCTGAATTAATGTTAGTGAAGTGACTTTTGGGAAACCCCCAAGGATAGGGGCTGGTTGCCAGTTGAATTGACCCTGTAATTTGAGGGTTGGACCTTTCAGTTTCCCTGCCTCCCACTCCCCTCTGGGAAGAGGGGTGGGCTGAAGACAAATTTCAGTCACTCATGGCCAATGATTTAATCAGTCTTGCCTTTGTAATGAAGCCTCCTGGAAAGCTTTAAGGGGTGCACTCAGAGATCTTCTGTGTTGGTAAACACATTCAGGTGCCCGTAGGCTCAGGCAAATTGAAAGCATGGAACCTCTGTGCCCCTTGTCCCATACCTTGCCCTATGCTTTTCTTCCATCTGGTTCTTCCCAAGTTGTGTTGTTGCATGAATGATTGTATAATGGAAATTTCTATCATTTGAAAATTAAAATATGTTCTTCCTCAAACCACTTTCCTTATTTTTGAAATTGATATTAGAGCAAGAGGAAGGGAAAGAGAGAGAGAGAGAAAAATATCGATTTGTTGTTTTATTTATTGATACATTCATTGATTGCTTCATGTATATGCCTTGACTGAGGATTGAACCTGCAGCCTTGGCATATTGGGACAACATTATAATGAACAGAGTTACCTGGCCAGGGCTCCCTTTATTTACTTATTTATTTTTCATCTCTACTACTAAGGTCACCATTTCCTCAGTTCATCAGCTTTTTAAAAAGATTTTATTTATTTATTTTTAGGCAGAGGAAAAGATAGGGAGAAAGAAAGGGAAACTGATGTGAGAGAGAAAAATATTGATCAGTTGCTTCTCCTATGCACCGCCCCTGGGGATGGAACCATAACCCAGGCGTATGCCTTGACCGGGGATCCAACTGGTGACCTTTCACTTTGGGGGATGACACCCAACCAACTGAGCCACAATTGTCAGGGCTCAATTTACCAGATTTTAACACTATAAATCA